GTAATTGAAACAAGTACATACAAATATAATATTTCTTATAGTTTATTAAGTAGTTAAGTATTTCTTAGTTAGTTTCGATGGAGCTGACATGTCATCGACAAAAGCTCCTAAACAAAATAGACAAAAAAAGAGATCGCATGATGGTATCCATGTAAGGTTACGAAAATCTATGCCAGTAATTGGAAACTTGGAGTTTATGATTTTCACACTAAGTTTTTACTTGAAATGCATAACCGTAAACTTTTATTCGCTCCGTAATTAATATAAACAAAATAGTATGTGCTTGCACGGTAATATTATCTATATAATATTACCGTGGTGTTTGTGTGAATGGGTGTATGATTTATTTATATTTCATTATGTAAAATAGCTTTGCTTTAACACTGGTTTTATGACACAAGTATAAGATTACGCCGAGTTAGTCGGTGCCCACAGCATTAAGTGCTTGTAATTCTCCTTATCCAAGATGCGGGCACGGAAACACTCTCTATAATTTCCTCTCATACAAATAAGAGTCCAGTGATTTATGACACTATAAAATGTCCCTGCACGATTATTGTTTGATCTTTGGAATGCCATTTTAAAAGTATTGTGCTTAGGTATTATGCCAGAGGAGAGTACAGGTAACTTATCATCCTCAAATTACATGCAAGTTAAAACTTAAAAATAAAATAGGTAACATACATATGTCCGTGGTTTTGCCAATGATTTAGTTAATCCTGTTCGTGATGCAATCTGCTCAGATTATTTTTGGGTTTTGTAAACACAACTTTAAAAAAAATAGCTCCCAGGTCCGTCAAGTGTTATCTCGTTTTCCGGTTTCAAAAAATAGTTTTATTAGTTTTATTGTAATATTATTACCAGTTTCAAAGAAATATAATTATAATTGTGATCAATCGCATCTTAAAACCATAGAGGTTTGAATTTATGCGATGTACACCTGCACGACAATATTTAAATTGCTAAAGGAGTTATCTTATGACATTCATAAAAAAAATGGTATGAATGCACATTTAAAATAGACAAAGTAATTAGGAAATTTATTTTTATAAATTGTATAAAAAATATTCTTTTAATTTATTTATAATATTAGCGTTAGAGTGACCCGCAATTTCGGCGGCAATTCCTTTCTTAGACATAGGTACTTTTACAAGACTGCGTAGGAATGTGATGATCTAACCACATTCATCCACATGCTTATTACAGTGATAATTTCGTCTGATGATATCGCGTATCCGGTGCAGAATCTAAAACTGGCAGCAATTAAATGTGATTGTCCTTGATTCATGTCTTTGCATAATTCAAAATTATTTTTATAAATTGTTTAAAAAGTATTCTTTTAATTTATGTTAATCATTAGCGTTTGTTAGTGTGACCCGCAATTTCGGCGGTAATTCATTGATAAATCTAGTAATCATTACACAATTTTGTTTCAAATTCCAGGAGCTTTAATTAAGCCGCTATACTGTGTAAATAATCCAAATGGAATTCTCCTACATTATAATTTCAGTTGTTTATCACAATTGTCAATTAAATAATTTCCGAGCGGCATATTAATTTAACTTGCACCGCATAATTCGCAGCTCCTAATTAATTCTTACGACATGAACTCATTTTCTAGTTATAAAGAAAACTGATAAGGTTTATCGGCCAACGAACTTTGTTGCCATTGCGTAAAAACGTACGTTTGTTTTAAGTATGTGGGCAGTAAGATATTATTGCCTACATACTATTTGCATACCATAGCAATAGTGATAAAGTTATGTTTTCGCACTGAGCCTGCGTGATTGGTTATGGTGTTTCTCCCTTTTTTTTTTTCGTTGACGGGGTGAAAAAATTTATTATATCCACGACAATGACCAACGCCACGTTGGTTTGCTGTTAACAAACCCTCGTGACGCCGGTAATTGCGTGGTGCATTCGGCAAGCGGCGAGCCGCCCGAGGGCCGGTGCGGGTATACTTTGACGTGTGTACGTCAAAGTATACCCGCACCGATGCCACGCTTGCGTGAGTGTTCACGCAAGCGTGGCATACGTCAAACCACCCCGCCTCCGAACAGCAGCCCGGTCCGCACCCGCTCTAGCCGATCCTGGGCTTCTCCGTTCACAGCGTCGCCTGGCTAGTCTCACGGACCGCAGTCCAAGCGGCTAGCCAGCCGACCAGCTCCCGTACCTACCAGGTAAACCAACTCCCCGATCTACCCCTCACCCTCCAGGCGTAACTGCGGGGTCCAGTTATGAGTCTCCGCTTGTTACGCCTGGGATTCCTACCCCCTCGCGATGGTGCCGCGGAGCATCCCCTACCTGGCAGTCACAGAAGGTACCGCTAGAAGACTAGCAGGCGGGCTCGGCGCCGCCGACCAATCCTCCCCCTCCTGCATGGTGTTTCTCCCTAATTCTGCCTTCACGATGATCTCAAAGGTTTGTCTATGTCCCGACAGTGGTGCCCTTAATAGTCTGACACTGATCATGAAAACTTTGCCTTCAATAACTAATTAATTCTCCTACTCATGAAAGATTGTATATGAATTGCTTAGGGACTTTAGAACTTCAGCAGAAATATTAGTATGGATTCGGATTGAATTTAGCACACAGATAGTTAATTATACGGGACACCACAGGGTGTGATGATGTAAGTGATATATAATAATATATTTATTAAGTTCCATGGGATTTAATTTAGTTAGAAAAAGGTATTGGTCCATGTTCTGTATTTTTATTTTAAAATCGCACGCATTCAAAATCGCAATCAAATTATAGAAAATCTTAAATAAGTGCAGTGCTCTACTTTCTATCAACTTAGTACTTAATGCTGTCATAGTAGAGGTAAAAACAATAGGAATGCTAAAAGCGATATGGGAACACTTGGCTCTTATCATCCAGGTGAAAGGTTGTCAAATGAAACGAGGTGCTTACTCTCACAGCGGGACTGGCGTCGGATACACAGTGATAATATTTGTTTAAACATTCTGTTTTGTTTCCCATATACGTTGCTTGTTTTCGTTCCGTCTCAATAGTATTAGTACGTACGGTTCATAAGTGACGCTCGACTCGGCTCGAGACTTCCTCAATTCAACACACGGAGTTTGGTATTGTGCGAGTATCAGTCGTATTTTCTTCGTCAACAACAATGTTAAAATACTTTTTTGTTTGTGTCGTACAAACTACTAAATGACGGTTTTTATGTAGGTGTTAAAAATTTAGGTATTCATTTGTTTTTTTTTAAAATGGTCGTAGGTTTGCAAGATTATACCCTGAAGAATCTGATGAATAAATCAGTAATAGTAAGTAACTTGTTAACTATCTGTGTTTCGTTAAAGGGTGGATAGAATAGTAGCAATATCTTTGCGAATTAGGTAGGATAGAAACTATTTGCCACTTCCGATTATAGCATTTCGTTTCCTCTTCAGAATATGGAAACTAAATAACACTAGGTAAATTTTACAGTTAGGAACAATATTTCTACTTTTGTTTTTGAATATAGATGAAAATAAGGTAGGTATCTACTTGCTATATTATTAAAAATAGCTCATATGCATTGGTACCGAAAGATGTGTACTTTTGATAAATTGATGGAGTTGGAGTAGGTACCAACGTCTGTTAGACGATATGCATCAGCGTAAATGAATTGAATAACCAACCTACCACAGAGTTGAAATAGTACCCATTCAAATGTTGTTATCGGTATGCTGGTAGAAATAGACAAGGCTTATCGGAAGAATTAAAATGGTACCTATTAAATTAATCCTTGCGAGTGTAAAATGCTGTAGCGGTCAGATCGTGAGGCAGACTCACGTAGCATAGGATGGCTTTGAAATTATCTTGAGACGTTTTTATGGGCAGCATTGGAATCTGGGAGTTTTTTTTCCCATAGCGGGCCCGTTCCGACTCCCAAACAGGTTTTTAGATAGCGCTCAGTAATGCATCAACCTGGAGCGTTTTTGTAAAGGCGGCATACTCAAGGAGGCCGAGGTAATGAGGTTTCGGAACGGTCCTTTTATTCAATGAGCTTATTTACTAGACGTCGTCGTTCCTTGATGGTTGGTATGCTGTCTATGTGTAGAATTAATTTGAAACCACATGACATGTTGCCGTATTATCAGCGTTAACTACAGGGGGACAAGTAGAATGTGAAAGTATTTAAAAACCGGTCAAGTGCAAATCGGACTCGCAAACGAAGAGTTTCGTTTGTGACAGAAATATTTAAAACTAGTGTCCGCTGGCGACTTCGTTTGCGTTTTTCAGAATCTCGCAGAAAACGGTTTTTGGTGATAAAAGCCTGTGGGTAATAATCTATTTTATTTTACAAACATACAAACTAAATCGAGGAAAATATTTCGAAAAAATATGTTTCATGTAAGTATATGGAACTCTCTTTATTTTTTAATATTTGTTGTGATAGTGGCCTTAGTACTACCTATTTCTGTTAGTTCTGCTGACAGACAGAGACAGGCAAACGACAGCGGGGTTCCGTTTGTCAGCGTTTTGGTACGCAACCCTATGATGTTTTAAAGGTTCTACTCTACGGTATTGCACGAAACCCCATTGTAGTAGATCGAAGACGAAAACCAAAAAAATAGTTCGGGTTTGAAAACTTTTTGGTATTATTGAGTTTATTTTATATTGGTAGAAAGCACGGAAGTTGCATTTGCGGCATGAAAATGAGAGACTTATGGGAGCTTGGATAAAGGGACTAAAGATTGATTCATTAATCTTTAGTCTTGTTTGAACCTAATTGCAAATACTTTTATAAATTATGTGTGCACCTATGTAGAAAGGTATATCGCATTCTGGTGCGAAGGTTTCTGTGATAATACCTTAGAAAGAATCGCCAGACAGAAACCTAATGAACTTAATTTGCAAATAATCAGCTAAAGACAAGATAAATAAATATACGAGGTGTGTATAGATTAAGTTTATCAATGTGGCGCAGTAAATATGATATTGATTAAAACAAAAAAGTACCTGATAGATAAGTAAAATACAAAGAAAATACTTACGGACTGGCACCTTCTTTGGGTCATAATTCTCGACTATTTCGTTAATTTTTTCGATCTTAACTTGAGCTACTTTTGACCGTTCCGTAATGCCTTGGAGTTGCGAAGTTAACTCGCTGAAGATGTCCTCGGCCAGCAGCACGAGGGAGGCGAGTTGTCGCAAGGCATTGCTCAGGGTACAGTTTGTCACAGCTTGTAGCTCTTCGTCAGTGATCCTTGGCTTCCCATTTTCGTCACGCAAACTTGTCCGCGAAAGATACCTCGGCTCAACCACACGTTGTACGAAAGGCATTTCGATAAGTCCAAATCACCTCGTACGGGTACCATTTACACATCCATCCCCGCGACGCGAATTATTACTATACGTAATTTCGACAACCATTCAACACACCAGCACAAAAAACGTCAGGTAACCGCCACTTTGAATTAACCGACATCGTGACCGTTGAGTTTTCACAGGTTTGCGATATTTTAAGATTGCAGCGCAGTTTTTGCTATCGTCTAATATTAATAAATGACTTTTAATTCATAAAAGTAATTGGTGAAAAGTTAGTAGAAACTTTTCAAATATACGAAATCGCGCCATAACGAAAGAGACGTGAAACACACCTTACACAAACTATAGCACCCAGCCGAGTGAATGAATGAGGACGAGATAAATGTAGCGGACAGTGTGGCTGTCATAAAATTGTATCTACCCGTATTGTGTAATTTATTACACAAGTTATTGAGATATTTTTTATTAATAAAAAATTTTTGTTACCAGACAGTTTAAAACCTCTGATGATTTTTAAAACAGAATTATTTAACTTTGGCATAAAAATACGAAATTTGCAAAAGAAAATAATAACGCAAAACGTCTTCTTGATTTTTAGAGATTGGTACTTTTTACTGTTGTTTGAGAACCGTTTGTCATGTTTTTTGACGTGACAACGTCTTAAATTAGGTTGCGGCTGGGAGTCACTTATGAAAAAGTGTAACGCTCGGTAACGTTACGATGAGTCTCTCGTGTTAAGTTTAAGTTTACATGTACAATGTTTTAGTAAACAAAATATATTTCTATAGTTAAAATTTGTGCAATTCTTATTTTCATTCAATTCCTTGTTCCTATTGTGCAATTTAATTATATTCATATCAATAAATATTCTACCGAGAAAAAGACGTTGTCACGTAAAATCTTCGCCCGTAAAACCGACTTTACAGGCAACCATTTTTTTGGAAGATAATGGTTAGGTCAATCAGTTAAATATCAGATTTATTTATGAAGAAATACTATATTGTGAAAATACCTACTTTAAGCGACTTAAGATGGCTTTTATTTTCAGTAAATATAAAGTAAGTAAAGGCAATTCTACAATATGGAAATCTAATCTAATGAATATTGACAATGTTAAAAAGTCAAATTACAAAGATCTTATTGAATTTTAACCAACAAAAAAATATAGGTGTTATGATAACAAATACCACCGATAAATGATTAAGCATAAAGAGCGTTAAAAATAAATTATTGAAAATTCTAAATAGACGTCAAAGTATCTACGGTTTCCCATAATATTGGTAAGTAAATCAAATATTGAGAGTGGTAACACTGTTTATAAACGACACCTAACGAGACTTTTAGGAAATATCGCGTGCTTTTATGTGAAATGCTTATTTCTTACAGATAGTGCTTAAAGTAAAGCAGCTTTATTCATGATGTGGTGTACGTGAGATCGCACAGATGGCGCGGCAGTAAGAAGAACCCGATATTTTTATGCTCTAAATTCAATGACTTTACAATAGAGGTAACATATTTTATTAAGTATAAAGTTCTAAACTTTTCTGTGGAGCTTTTTTACAGCACATAGAAAGTGTTCTGTGAGCTTTTTAGGCAATGACGAATTTTTCATCGGGTAAATCCAAGGTAAATATTACTTTGGAACAGACAGACTGCATTTGAACAAAACTATTTTATTGTGCTATCTACCTCGTCGGGTGTAGGTAGGGGTAGAAGAACGTGGTCACTGGTCCAGACACGACGGCTAGGCTGGAGGGGTGGTTAGTGAGTCATATAGTATCTTACCCGCGCTAGTTATTTGCTAAATTCTAATAAGATGAGGAGGGTAATACGCCATGTAACCTTATCTACCTTATCTACTTAACTGCTCAGTGGAGCTAGGGATTTCTCCTTGGGGAAAATCTACCTTTAATTATCTACAAATAAAACTAGTTTTAACGGGTTAATGCACTAACTTTATTTATTTATTGACGTTTCGCAGCCTTTTACAGGTCTGCATCGTCAGAATAATGATTTTTTATTTTGGTCCTACGTTGCTCCAATATTTGCTCCAAAAAAAGGGAATTATGAATATTGTTTAAAGTTAAATCAACGTCATGAAGTATTTCATAATATATATATATATATATATATATAATTTATTTATAAAACTTTGCTCGGGTATATTCCACAAACAATCTCCATTGTAGAAGCCTTTTGAGCAAAGCTATGCTTTCCTTATTTAAACTTTGCTCCAGTAATATTACGCTTTACCTTTTTTGATAGTATCAATGGTCAAAAAATGAGTAAAAATTAAAATGAACCTTGTTTTTGAAAGAAATAATGTTATATTCCTAAATTTAGTTACAAAATCACTTTGTTTCATTGGTTTTTTTATATTCTTAAATTATAATAGGCACTGCTATCTTAACCAGTAACTTTGTTTACAAATGCTGCACAAAAATCAGTCGAAAATAAACTAACAAGATAAACTTCTCAAAAACTTTAAAATTACAATTTTAAAAGTAACCCCCAAAGCGGTCAGTTCAGGAACGGAATATGTTTAACGGCGGATACATTTTTTTTAAGGGACATCAATACATCGCAATATATCATGCCAATCGTATTGAATTTCATCGACGGGCAAGATTTTAGCGACTTTTTCATTAAAGAGATATACCCCTTCTTTAGTTATTTTTGAAATTTCCTTGATAAAAAGTGTATTAATAACCACTTAGAAACAAAGGTTTACATTTGAACGGATTATGTGTGGGTTTAGTTTGCTCTAGGCGCAAAGTTACCCTATCGTACCAAAGAAAATATGAGCACACCAAAAATGTGATGTTAGATTATGACCAACTCAGCAATCCAATGAAATATTTACGTATTCGTTTCCCTGATTATTTAATTAATAATATTATAACATGATTACCTTAATGCATTATGCAGACTTCAAGATGGGAGTGACTTTTTCGGATACAAAAAAAATGACTTTTACGGTCTTGGATTACAGCTCCACCTGATTTATAAAAAAGATCGCGGATGAAAAATTTTACAGTTCAGTGTTGCCGCTTATAAGTAATATGTTTCGGGTGCGTTTACAGTTGAATGAAATGTTGCACCGATTTGGACATATTAAGCGATAAAACATTTTAGAGAATTGGAGCATAATTTCCCCTATAGGAGCAAAGTAGAAATTTTACGATACCACATGATACTAAAAACATGACACACATGATTACTTTGACAATTGAAAAGATATTTCTCACTTAACTGGGCTTTAATTAGCAATTCTTGCACATTTTCTATACATAAAAAGATCACGCTCATAATTCAAAATAATCAAAAATGTAACTTTATTTATTGGCACGTTTATACTATGTATTGTATCACCATCACCTGTGTCAGGAATCGTTTTATATAAACGAAGTACAAGTATTCATTCCATACAAAATAAAACACAATATGCCCAAAAAATAATGTATTATATTTTTTTATAACAAAGCGCTTATATTTATGATATCGCTTCGGCGATCGACGATGGCGATTTTATTTATAATATACACCTAATACAATGCCTTGCATCAATTTAACATTTAATGGCAACATACAGTTTAAACTTGTATAAGATATATAACTTTCTTTATCTACACCCATGCTTTAAAACCCTATTAATGATTCTAAAACAGCTTATTGCCAACACCAAAAGATCGAATGTCATAATTAAAAAGTTAAAATAAACGGGTGTTATAATGTTGCACAAAATGTCAAAATTCCTTCGCTTTTTTAAATCCCTGCCGCACCAAGGGCTTACTCATCAGACAGCCACAATTTTCACTGCTCGATGCGTGGTACATATGCATAAAAAAACACATTCACGCGCGTTTCACTACTACAGCGCCGAAACTTTTCATGAATGCTATCCGAATCTATTATAGAGGATTCATAACATGGGTATAGATAAAGTCCTATATGCAACTATTTATAATTAAGTATAACACTCATGTGATACTATTACTACACTCGGCTTCGCCTCGTGTGATAAATCCACATTCGTGTTTTAACGTCCCTCATTATACAGTAACATAACTAACTATTATTATCCATTGATATTATACTTGTATTAGATGAAAGTAGGTAATGACCTAAAAGGTTTTATGCACAGAAGGGTCACTTTATTTTTCTGCATGCTGATATTGCCAGAAATATTGTTTTCTGTTATGCTAAGGCCACGCTGTCGATGTCGTCCTATTGCGAACATTTCCCGTTTTAAGGACAAGTAGGGCCAAGCAATAGTCATATTTCAGAATACGGTCAGAAGTGTGATTATATATATTGCTTGGTTAGATGCGTCGTGAAAACGGCAAATCTTTGCTTTATCGCGATAGTGTGGGCTCAGCATTACGCGAATTTTTTACCACTTCAGCAGAATTTATAATTTTTTATTGAAATATTATTATATTAAGTAAATAAATATAATAAAAATCAAAAACAACAACATATTTTATTCCAGATTCTGGTAGATTTTATGCATATTGTATTTACTATTGTTGTATTTAATTGTGCTGGTAAGTACAGATATGTTTATATTATTTTCTTAACATTAACTTTAAGTTGAAACTATTGTTAAGGCTTACATTTAAGTAGTATTATGTATAATGTTAAATTAATAACTTGCAAAAACACACAGGATTTAATCCTTTAAAATTATCAAACAAGAATGCAAAAATCATTCATATTATGTCAAATCAAATAATTATGTCTCGCGTATTGTTGAATTGAAATATCAAAAGGGCATAATTTAAGAAAGAAAAACTTATTAACTTAAAGAATTTACACCGCAACATAAATATTTTTTAAATAACTTATTCTTGTTTATATTATTTAAGTAAGTACGTATATTTAAGTTTATTTTATTGATTAAGGACATGTTTTATCAACTACAATAAATATGATCTAATATCGACTACCAATAAGCAACATTAACATTTAGTTAGTACATGATTCAGATAAAAAATGTGACTAAGTAAAGGTATTATCTGTAAGTTGAATAGCAGATATTGTGATTTGTGATTGATTATGTGCTTTTATGTCTGGAACAGCAATACAAATTTCTGAGTGTTTTCCTCTATTTGAAAACTACATAAATTTATTTTATAACACATTTGCCCGTAAAGCGTCTCTTATTGCACCATTTTCAATATCATAACCTATCACATTACACACGCGTGCGGTAATGTAAAGTAAAACGCACGGCTTATTATGTTCCGTCTAAATACGAACGATACTTTTTTAAATCTTAGCAAAGAGTTTTTATTTCAGAAAGGTAGCCAACATTTTCTTAATAAAATTAAATTTGGGAGTCAATATATAATATATTAACATTCAATTCGATTCATTTTGACAATAAAT